GTCAGTAACTATCATCTAAAGCCAGGTAAGACTATAGTGACACTGGTGTTCTCTGCTTCCTCCTTGAGCTGCTGGCTGGCAACCAGATGCATCACAGCAAAGGCACCAGCAGATCCCGCTTTCACCACTGTCTATTTCTTTATCTAATTTTTGTCTATAAACTTCAGGGTAGTAGCTATATGCTATGGTTTGAATCTGTGACTCAAAAGTATGTGTCGGAAACTTGGTCTCCAAAAGAACATTGTGGGAGGCGGATCCTAGTGAGATGGCCAGGGGACTCCAGCCTCATCAACAGGTTAATGCTGAATCCAAGTGAGGGCTCGCTCCTGGAGAGGGATTCCTTGCTTTCTTATACTGACTCTTGGCCTTCCTAGAAGGCACCACCCACCTTCTAGTTCAATAACTTCCAGCAACCAGACCTGTGAGAAAGAAATTTCATTTCTATCTAAATTACTCAGCCATGTCAGGACCTCAGTACAGAGTCAGGCCCTGAGTATCGTTCCAGGCTCTCAGTGTAATGGAAGGAACTTAGTAATATGTCAGGACTTCAGTATTTTATCATGCCCCACTCAGCATGTCAGGACGTCAGGAAGGCATCACGTTAGGCTTTCAGGAGCCATGTCAAGCCCTCAGCAACATGTTAGAACTTCAGGATCATGGCAAGTACTCCATATCAGGCTATTAGTATCATGTTAGGGTCATACCACACATCCAGTAACACCAGGACCTCAGAATCTCTGTATGTCCTCAACATCAGGGGGGACCTCAGTGTGCTTCAATTTATGTTATATTCTCAAAACTATGTCAGGACTTTGATATCATGTCAGGCCTAAGTACAATGACAGGACCTCAACATTATGTGGGACCTTAGCAACACGTCAGGCAATCTGAATCATGCCAGTGCCTCAAAATTACGGCAGAATCTCTGCATCCTGTGAGGCCCTTAGCATCACATGTCATCACTATGATGCTGTGACCTCAGCCACATATCAGGATGTGAACCTATTAACAGGCCCACAGCAACATGTCGGATGTTAACATCTCTGTTACCATGTGAGTTCCTGAGCATTATGTGACAAAATCAGCGTTACCCATTCCCCTTGCATTATGTTATTTCCTCTGTATCATGCCATGATCTCGTCAACATGTTAGTACCAGATTCTTCTATCAGAGCCTCAGTGTCATAGCAGAACCTCAGCATTGTGTCTGTCACTCAGGATTCTATTAGGTCCTCAGGCTCACGCTTGGTCCTCGGAAAAATAGCGTGAGTCTAATGTCATGTCAGAACCTGTGTATCAGGGTAAGCCCTGAGCATTATGTCAGGACGTCAGCAACTTAGTAGGTCTTCAGCATTATAGTGTTGTTCCAGACCTTGGCATCACGTCTTCACCTGTGTCATGAGAGGGTCTCTCATATCATGTTAGGCCTTCTCTGTCAAGACCTGAGTGTCATGTTAGACATTCAATGTTCTATCAGGGCCTCAGCAATGTGTCAGCACTTAATTTCACTGCAGGCCTTCAGCATCGTGCCAGACGACTGGTGTCAGGTCAATCCTCAGGATGGTGTCGGACCACAGTGCCACGTTAGCTCTCAGCATGATGTCAGGACCTCAACACAAAGCGAGGACCGTGGCACCATGCCTTCCATCAGCATACAACCTCAGCAGAATGGGAGGACCTTAGCATCATTGCAGATGCTCAGCATCACGCCAAGGCCTCTGTATCAGGTCAAGCTTTCCCTGTCAGGTCTGAAACCCACCATATCAAGATCTCAGCATCATAACAGTATCTCAGCACAGTGTCATTTTCTCAAGGTTACCTCAGGTCCTTTGCATCATACCAGAAACCCAGCACATCAGGCTTGGATACCATGTCCGGCTCTGAAAACTATGTAATCATCGATAACATCATAGTATGCACTCAGAAACATGTCAGTGTGACATCCACACCTCAGTATTAGGTATAAGCCTCAGCATCACGTCAGAGCCTCACTGTGATGTCAGGACTTCAAAGTCCCGTTAGGACCTCAGGATCACATGAGGTTCTGAGCATCACAGGTGGGTCCTCTCATTGCGGCACTGCCTCAGGCTTTCTGTGCAATGCCAGGGCTGCAGCATCATATGGGCACGTCAGAATCCGTCTGAGCTTGAGTGCCACTGCGAGATATTAGCATATGTCAGATCTCTCCACAGTACCACATCTCGTCCTCAGGATCACGGCGAGGCCTTCATTATCATATCAGGACCTCAGCACCATTATCAGTTCCTTGCTGTCAGGTCATGACTTCAACATCATGTCAGACTTCGCGTATCCTGCCAGTCTTTTGGTATCACGTAGGTACTTCAGCATCACGTTAGGCCCTTGGTATGACACAAGTCATTGTGTCAGACTCAAGGTGCCCTGTCAGGTTCTCAGTACCACGTTACAGCTTCAGCACCAGATACCACCTCAGCGTCACTTCAGTTCCTGTTGGGAACTCACCAGATTGTCAGGACCTCAATGTAATATCAGGCTTCCAGTTTCATATAAAGACCTCAGCATTGTGCTGGACCCCAGCATCACATCAGGCACTCAGCATAATACCGAGACCTCAGCATCATGTTACTGCATCAGTACCGTGTAGACCCAGAGCATTTTATGTCCTCAGTATACAACAGAACAGACCATCATGTGTAGACGTCAGTATGACTTCTGGACATGCTGTCACGGTCTGAGCTCAGTGCCGTTTCAGGACCTTATTTCAGCAATGTATCAGGACACCAGTATAGTGTTGTAACTTCAGTATCCTGTCATCAGTCACTCACCCCCGAGTCAGGCCTGCAGCATCCTTTTGGAAACAGAGTATCATATTCAGGTCCTCAGCATCATCTCAGAACTTCAGTATGTGAACGAGTAACAAATACAGAGTCAGGCTCTCGCCAGCATGCTGGCTCCTTGCTGGCATGTGGTACTTTAGTATGATGGCTCGGCTGTAACCTCAGGACAGCATTATGTAAGAATCTCAGCATCATGTCAGACCCTCTGCATCATCAGGATCTCTGCATCATGTATCATGTCAGGCCTTCTGAGCCAACCAGAACAGCGGCAGCACACCATGACCTCAGCATTATCAGTCTCTTGGTGTTACATGCTCTGTAACATGTCACACTTCAGCATCCTATCAGCTCCTTAGCAACACATCTGGACCTCTACCCAGTGAGGAGCTAGTGTCATATGACACCTTCAATACCATATTAAGGGCTTCAGGATCTTGCCTAGGCCCTCAGTATCATGACAGGACATTAATGGTGGATCAGGCGATGGTTACTTTAAGGTGGAGATCCCCCCACCGTGCCCCCAGTGCCTCCTCCTACCTAACAGGGCACTCTGCTCCTGGCCTCCCAATCCCCCTCTCCTGTACCCCCAGCCTCTCCATCAGGCTCCGAGCAGAAGGCGAAGCTGTAAAAGACGGCCAAGACGCTCAGACACATCTATGTTTATTTTTTTTTTCCTGTCAGAAAATCTCAAGAATTACACCAAAAAATACTTCAGCCTCTGCTACCTACTGACAAAAATACACCACAAAATTATAAAGCGCTCTGTGGTTTTGCTAGGGACGATTGGTTGATCCGCTTCAGATGACAAATGAATTTACAGGTGACTCAAGGTGATGGGTGGACGGGCAGGGGGAGGAGGGAGGAAAAATCAGATGAGCGTGTTTGGCAGGATAGCTTGAGCTATGCTACTCCTGTTACCCAGCTGCTGTGTAAGATGATTTCAGCAATATAGCAAGCCACAAAAAGCACTCCTACATGGCCTGTTGGAGAGGCACTGGGAAACAGTAACACATGTCAAATGAACACTTCTCCTGGCCAGTTCTGGTCCTCTTGGGCCTAGAGCCAGCACCTCTGCAGAAAGGGGCCTTCCTGGAATTCTCCTGAGAAGCAAGAGGCCCCTGCTAGCATGCCCTGTAACCTAGAATGGGAAGCCTAAGGATGCTGGTCATGCCCCTCCTGCTCCCCCCAACCCTCATCAGGCGCTTCTGGAACCCAGCAGCAGAGTTTGGGTGCACATCCTCTGTCAACACAACAAAGTGAACCAAAGACAGCCACCTTCTCCAGCTTCTTTTAGTAATGACCTGCCACCATTGCAGGCCCAATCTTCAGATTTCCTCCTGGCTGTCTCTTGGATTTCCTGGCTAGGCTCCTATTGCCGCTGCTGCTGTCATGAGCACTTTGGAAAAGAGCAAACATGTAAGACCTGGGTGCCTGTGCTTCTAGCTGGGCCCAGGGCGACCTGCCTGTTTCCTTGCCACCCCTCTTCCTTTCTCTCCTTTTCCACCCCTGCCATCTTGAGAACACAGGCAGCATCTAGGGATACACCTAGAAAAATAAAAGAAAGACAACATCTACCCACGTCTGTGTTTGCTGATTCACAACAGCTGCCCTGTGAGCATCCGGAGCCTAGGTCCCATGGGCTGCCCTGGGTAGAGCATGGATGCCTCCCCCGTGGCTTTGTGTTCCTCTTGCAAACTCACCACTAAGTGGTACTCTGTGCATTCCTGGTTTAGAAATGCCAGCATCACCTTTCTCTCCAGTTCAGCCTTCTCTGCCTTGCTGTGCTCCTCTCCTGCAGACCACAGGCAAACCAAACGGCCCACCCTCTGCCACACAGATATTCGGTCGCCCACACTGAAGCCACCGTGCCTTGTCTAAGAAGCCCGGAGAGGCTGTGCTCTTTACTGTCCTGCTGTGTCTTCCATACGGAGCCTGTTTCAGGTGCCTTTTATTCATTTTCGCTGGCTCCCCTTTCTGTCTCTAAATTATCCTAACAAAGAATAAGCGGGGGCTTTGAAAGTATCTTACATGGGAACAATCAACACGAAACATGCCTTTGTACACGAGCCTGACTTGGGTACGAAGGAACAATACGAGAGGACAAAAGGAAAGATCGATTCAGACGACTCCAGTGCACAATATTTTCAGGGAGTTCTCCCCAGACCCCATCCTGCCCCCCCCCCCCCCCCGACCCCCCCAGTACAGTGTTGTCTTGTAGCTTCAGCTTTGCCTAGCCAGTCGGGGGTTCCCCTCTCCACCCACCACCCCCATCCCAGCTGAGGCGGGCCTCTAATGGCCCTGGGTCTTGGGCGGCTTGGGCTCGTGGATGACGGCGGCTGCCGACAACCACGGTCCGATGGCCCGGGCAGTGCTCTGCTTGGCCACACTGTAGTGGCTGATGACTGTGTAGAAGCGGCTCCTGGAGCTGGGGTCCTGGGCTGAGTAGTAAGCGTCCAGCGAGGCCGGGATACAGCGCTTGTGCTGGGGAAGAAAGAGATACGAGTCAAGAGTAGTGGGGTCGGCTGCTGGCACCCACGGACCCACAGACCCACAGAGACACTACTGCCCTGCGCCGGAGTTTCAGGTTCATCCGGCTGTCAGTCACACCACAAGAGACAGTACTCCTGGGCTTGGCCTCAGCAGACCTTCCCCAGTTATACCATTGCCATCTTCAGAGCAGAGGAGATACACCTACTGGTACTAAGGTAAGATCGGACTCATCTGCTGGATGACCGTATGGCAATAATAGTTCTTGGTAGCACGACATCAGGTCCTCTTACCTGGTTCCAGTGACTGTCTGGGCCACTGTCCACAGATAATGACAATTTCCCACCCTTTGTTTAATATATGCATTTTTTCTCTTATCAGGGTTGTTGGTTCCTAACATTAATATGAATTTACATTATGCATTTGTATTATCCCACCATATATAGGATAATCATAAAATACTACCAGTTTTAGCACTCATAGTGAATTGTGCATTGAATGGATGTTGCTATGTCTTGATGCCCTGGGCATTTTCAACTGTCTGATGGTACTAACGTATACCTAGATAATTCTGTTTCTCAATCTAGCACAGTAGCCAATAAATTGCATAAAATGGTCACGGTTACAAAGTAGGCCTTGTTCCAGATGATTCTGGCCAACTGTAGGCCCGTGTAGAGCCCTGAAGGCACTCTGCACTCATGATGGTTCCAGCCTATGTGGGGTTCTCTTGTCGTCCTCACGGTTAGCCGAGGAGCAGCCACACAAGCTATTGAGATTCTGTGGGCTGTGACTATTTGAAATACTAGCTTTCTTTGCCAAGTCTCTCCACTTGATACAGAACTAGGTTTTTTGTTTAGCTTGTTTTCAATCTGCGGAGTTTACGTTTTCTTATTTATTTATCAAACAGGTCAACATTTATGTATTTTAAGGAAAATATATAACGAGCTAATTCTGGATGAATACTGCATCCGTCCTTGATGCATCCTTACTCCTTTCTGAGTATCCATATTTGATATTTTAAATGTTTATCCTTTTAGAATTTAGAAACAAACCTCTTTCACCTCCCTACTTTCATGCACAGGGAGAACTTTCTTTCTTTGTTTGCCAACATTATCTTGGAGGGGAATCGATGTCACGAAGCAGATAGTCTTTTCTCGCTGTCATACATCTGAAGGATCTCCTTGTGTGGAGAAAGCAGGGTCTATTCACTGTCTCCGACGCTTGCTGTCACTTGTCTCCTCTCTTTCAGAACCTCAGCTTTTACCCAGCAGGAGCATCACTCCATGGAGACACACAGCGGCACAAAAGACACACGCTCTCAAGCTGGAACGGCCCCCGTTTGATCTCCCACTTTGGAACAGCTTCCTAGCTGTGAGGCATTGGGAAACCCTCTTAACTAAATACCCCCAATTTCTGTTACTTCTTATGGAAAACAGGGACAAAAATAATCCCATTTTCAGAATGGTTGTGTGGCTTCATAGAGATGATGTTTATGGAAATTTCTAGTAAATAGCCTGACAGAAAATAAGTAGTCAGTAAACGGTGATTATAAAAATTAACACTGCCAGGCAGTGGTAAATCCCAGCACTTGGGAGGCAGAGGCAGATGGGATCTCTGAGAGTTCAAGGCCAACCTGGTCTAAAAAGCAAGTTTCAGAACAGTCAGGACTGTTACACAGAGAAACCCAAAAACAAACAAACAAACAAACAAACAAAAAACCAAGAAAAAAATACATCATCACCTGTTTCTGATTTAAAACAGCTAACTGTATTGCAACTCATATGTATTGAGTCTGTTATCTGATAGGCTTGCATTTATTTATGTATTTATGTATTTATTTATTTTTGTGCGAAACTATTTGACTGTTTGGGCGTACATAATTCTCCAAAGGAATAAGAAGAGCCCTAGGTCACCCAACGCTCTGAAGGAAGGAGGGCAACTAAAGCAATGGTCAGGAGGAAAAGGACCCAGAGGACCAAGGGTCTGGACACAGGCTGGGAGGAAAGCTCAGAAGCACTCTGCCTCATGTTTTTTCAAGGACACCCTGAGGAAAGGAATCAGCAAGCTAGTCAGAAGATCCACATGAAGCGGAGCCTTCCGAAGACAAGCAAGTCAGCGTCAAGTGTCACTGGGCATCATCCTTCACTGCCCATGTGCAGTCTGGAGGTGGCCCACTTCCTGACCTCTCTATAGGGCTCTTGTGCCTCTCTGAGATTGGTCCTTCAGGAAGCCATGATCACTCCCTTCCAGCTGTGTTTCAGTCCATGGGGAGAGTGCCATACCCAAATATGGCCACCAGGGAAGAGAAGACATTGATAATGTCTCCTATGGGGTAGCGCCACTCCCAAATATAGACACTGGGGAAGAGAAGAAGAAGACATTGCTAATGTCTCCTAGGGCTGTGCACCTGCCCCAAGCCCCTTACCTTATAGACAAATCCCTCAGGACAGCTGTGGTCATAGGTGAAGGCTTTGTAAACCACCAGGAACACAATGCAGGCGAGGAAAGCGAGGGCCAGGCTGACAAGAATGGTGACCTGAAAGAAGACAGAACTGAGCGTCACACAGACTCAGCACATGCGCCTTCAGGTCACACATGCAGCCTTCCGCACCTGGAGTCAAGAGGCTGGCTGATATGTCGGGAAGGGGAGAGCCAAGCATCCAGGGAATTGAATGCGTCTTGGTTTTGTCACTAACTAGAATTTAGCATGGCCCTGCGAAAGCTTGCCCTTCAGGAGCTTCAGATTCTCCCTCCTAGAAGAATCCAGGAAGTTCTTTCTTGACTCTATACATGCTTTTCCCCTACTCTTCCTGTTAACACGAGGGTGGGGGGCGTGGTTACGCCATCACATCCTGGGCTTCTTGCTTTCCTTCATCACTCCACCCCTATAGTCAGCACGGTATTCTAATGTCAGGCACCAGTTGCTGGCTTTGCCTCTGTTTGGACACCTGGCACCATCTTGAATGCGCCCCCATCCACTGTTCTCCCCACTCCAACTTTATTTCCGCTGCTTTCTTACGGCTGTAGCCAACGACAGCTCCACATAGTCAGTAGTGAACACACACCTTCCGGTCACGCTTAACTATGTCCCTCTATACTGCATATCGGCTCGTCAGGAAAATCAGCCTTGATATGAACTCACAACCTGACCCCTTTTGACTGCTTCAGTCATTTCCGGAAGCCATGCCACCTCTCCCCAGCAGTACTGAGGCCACCTTTAAAACTTTAAAGGCTTTCTATAGCACGGTTGACACACAGCCATAAGAAGACTTGGAAATTTTAAGTTCAAGTGTCCTTTTTCTACCCCCAAAAGCATGTGGTCATCACCAAACAACCAGCTCAGTGTAAAGGATCGACTCCTGGCGGTGAGCGACAAGCAAGTGTTTGTTTAGTACCCGCCATGCCAAACCGAAACAACGCCAGGACTTATTAGAAAGGAGTAAATGGTTAATTACAAGCTCACACTGTGACCATGACACTGCATATGTACAAAAGGAAAGGAAGGTACCGCCCCCTCCCGTGATACTGGGGTCTGCCGAGTTCTTGTCAAAATTTGAGAGTGTGTATTATTTTTAAATGCTAGCCAATTGAATCAGTCAGCACAGTTCCTCCCAGGAAGAGAAAGTTCCTTTTGATCTAGGAGAAAATTAAATCAATGTGGTTTTTTTTGGGTGGTGGTGCCCTCAATCCCACATTTCACTCTAAGATATGGGGACAACCGTAGGAGGAGACAGGAATCTGCGATACTCCAAATGAGGGAAGTTGCCCGATGACCCCTTTAAATACCGGATGGGAGGAGTTTGGAAGAGGAAAGACAGTGAGGAGAGAATCAGGCCGAATCCTGGGGTGAACACAGTCCACAAGAGATTTCTCCACTCACATGGGTGTGAAATCCCATTTTAAGTTGTTGTGGAAGCATTGTGCTCTCCTGGCTTCTCTTTTCCATTACCCAAGGCCTCTGCTGAAGCCTATTGCGCATGCGCCAGCTTCACAGGCAGGCTCCCAAGCAGGCTGAAGTCTACTGCGCACGCGCCAGCCTCCCAGGCAGGGTTACCACGCAGGAAGATGAGATGATGCTGAGGTCTGATCTGGGTCATTCAGAAGGGCATGGAGCTGAAAAGCCGCAGAAACCCATGGAAACGGAACCTGGAGAGATGCTATGCGCCCCCAAATTAATAGTAATTTATTAGGAAAGCAGGTCACCCAGGATCACCACTCAGCAATCCCAAGAACTCAAAAGTGCTGGCCAGAGAGTGTCTGCGTTACAGATGTAAAGAAACTAAAAAAATTTCCAGATTGTCCAAGACTCAAAAGACAGAAACAGTTCAGGATAACCAAATATCATCTTACCAACCTCCCATATTTAATGATTCCACATTAATGGATTCAATTAACTAGAGACCAAAATAATTTGTGGAAAAGTAAAATTTTCTATACTGAACACACCAGTCTTTTTTATTTTAATCATGCTCCCCATATAAGACTATATGGCAACTACTAACATGGATTTATATTGTACTATTTTATAAGAACTTCAAAGGAGAGCTAACACCCACAGAAGATGTACAAAGGTCATATGCAAATGCACGGGAGGGACTCGCACATCTGAGGAGTTTGGTACCCCAGGGGGTCCTGTGTCTTGATAGATGGTGTGTATTCACATAATATCACTCAGTCATAAGAGGAATGAAATACGTGTTGACAGATGTAGACAGACCTCAAAACCATCACACCGAATGAAAGAAGTCATGTCTAAAAGGTCACCATGAAATACCGAGAATAGATTAAACTGTAGCGATAGAAAACACATCACCAGGGGCTTGCACACACACGCGTTGGTGGGGGACAGCGGGGAATGACTGATAATGGATACCAGGTTCCTTCTAAGTGATGAAAATGTTTTGAAATTAGACAAGGATGATGGTCACAGCGCTGTAAATATTCTAAATGTCATTGAATAGTTTGTTTTAACGTGACTAATTTTACAGTGTGCAAATTTTTACCTCGGGTTTGAAATGCTAGAACTAAGGGAACATGCTGCCTCCGGGGTGGGAGCCATTCCTGTACGTGGTGACTCCATCAGAGAGCTCTAAAATACTGCTAGCATCCCCACGGGCCCAGCCAAGAGGGCTGCCCACGTTCTGGATCCAAAGAGTTAGATGTGCAGTATCAGTGGCAATCACATGGCTATGGACTTCATGCATGTAAAGGTGAGAACAATGGTCCACAGACCCACCCAGCCAATATCAGTGGTCACAGGCAGCTCGAGGGGGCCCTGGGAAATTCTCCCATCCCAGTAACCACGTGTGATCTCAGCCTCTGACTGAGCTGAACCCCAGCCTTTGGCAAACCTAGCAGCAGGGCAAAATGTCTAAAGACAGTCACGGTCCCAGGGAACATCCGTTTAGGGTGGGTGCTCCCACCCAGGGGTCTCTAGCAGGTTAGAGAAAGGTGCCCAACATGCTCACCCAGGGTTAGCCTCCCCAGACATGGCAGGGCTCTCCCGTTCCTAACCTTCTCTGAGAGAAGCAGGTGTGATTCACCAAGGTCACCAAGGCTGACTGTGTGACAGAGGGGCTTTCAGACAATGTCACCGAGAAAAGAGGGAGGAAAGAAGGACGTGGTTTCAAGTCTACTGCTAGGAGCATCTGAGGGACCTGGGGATGCCGACATCCAGGTTTCCCTCTCCTGTGACACCTAACTTAATGGACAAGGAGCAAAGGGGCACAGTTTTCAACCTTCCAGTGGACTGTAAGGTACACCCGCGGGAAGACTGGCTGCTCCTGTAAGCTGTTTGGACTTGGATCTCAAGCTGGCTGCACATGTTATCATCACGTGGCAAGTGTTTTAAAGAAGCCCCTTCTGCTGGTTCCACTTGGGTAATGACCTCAGAATCTCTGGGGTAGAGTCCAGGCTACAAGGATGTCTGAAGTCCCCAACTCCTTAGAGCAGGCAGGGAGAAGGGCATTGCGTGTAGAGCTTGGATAGGGTGGCCTCTGGGAATGCTGAGTGGAGGCTGGGGAGTAGCCTGGCTGTGGGTGCGATTCTGCCCATCAGGCTAGCTCGGGTGGGGGTAAATGGAGGGCGTGTTGTCTGAAAGTCTTCGCTCTTCTCCTAAAGTTTAGTAGGGATTTCTCTGTGACTGAGGCTATCAGCACAGGGGCCTCTGGGACTAACCTGGGGTAGGGGATGTGACATTCTGGGCAACCACAGAGAATGGCAAGTGGGAGGGCAGAAGGCTCTGAGCAGAGGACCGTGCATTTGCCAGAGGGCAGCTGGAGAAGGTCTGGGGCCGTCCTAGATGCAGGGTAGGTTTGACTCAGAGGAGGCAAACAAGGAAGAGACCTGGAGCGGAGGGGTGGGGGAGTGGACATACTCAGCACGGAGCCTTAACTCAAGGGTGGCAGGGACCTATTGACAATCTTACCCTGGCAAGTGGCTGGATCAAGATTAGGCTTTGGCAAGACGCTGGGGGCAGGGCTGGAAGCAGGGAGGCCAGGAGAACGCTGGTCCTTAAGGGAGATCTCAAAGGTTGAACTAGCCTGGGCAGTAGAGTGGACTGAATCAGAGACTTGCTTAGCAGCAAGGGATTTCTGACTTGGCTTGCAGTGAGAGTTTCAGGCAGATAGAGACCTGGCTGCCCTGGACCAACCTCTTCCTTTCTAGAAGATCTGTGGAATTCAGAGGCCTCCAGAACCTGGAGCCTGTAGCTAAGTCCCCCCATGGAAAGGGAGCTTCGGCCTGCAGGGAAGGACCTTCCATTTCTCCTCACACCATCAAGCCCTGAACATAGAAACTGGGATCCATGTTGGGATTTACCGGCTTACTTATGGCCCCTGGTTCCTGGAATTTAACGATCTGGGACTAGCAGTGAATTACACGTTTCTCACGCTAGATTCAGCGCGTTGTGTGACGTGATCGTCACCACCTGCCAACACCTGTCCCTCTCTTCTGTTCGCTTCCTCACTTCCTGACTTCCTCATCACAAACAGACTTCGGCTCTGGTTGGCTCTGAGCCAAACGCCATGAGGCAGGCAGGCTACTAGGACTGTGCAGTGAGCAGTCAGGTATCAGCTCAGCCCCTGACTGAATAACCTCCCAGCATGCCACAGAGCAGGGTGTGGGGCAGAGCAAAGGGAGGACAGGGGTGGGCTGGAAGGAGCCAGACACTGTGATTCTGGGCAGAGCATTCCAGACTGCCCAGAGAGTCTGCAAAGAGCTTGGAGGCCCAGAAGGCCTGGAAGGAGGTACCTTATGACAGGAAAGCTAAAGGAAACATTGCCGAGGTGACAGGGACCAGGGCCGTGAAGCCCTGGAGGCCCATGCCATCCCAGCCAGGAGGAACTTTCCACAGATCTCCTGCCCCTCCCCCAACCGCTGGCCAGAGTCAGACACCCAGCCTCCTAGCTGCTTCCTTGCAGACAAGAGCCCTTCCACCATTATGCGTGCTCAGCAGAGCAGACAACCTGCCTCCTTTCCTCTGTCTGGTCACCAGTTCTTACCTCTGAACTCACTAACTTCTCTATCTATTCTAGA